ACAGAATTTCCCAGTCCTTACCCCATCAGAGGCAAGAACTGGACAATTTCTTTTTACTCGTTCTCGATCTTGCTTTATGCTTTGGCCGTACGGCAAGCGATTGCTTGTTGGGTATGTCCATATATTTGACATGACTTCGCAAGGATGACAATCTGCAAATCCGAAACTTTTGCTGACTTTGCAGCAATTATATTCGCCATCACTCAGCTGCATCGTACCTTACAACGCCATTTAGCTGCCACTTCATTCAGGGTGTAGAGCGGATTCTCATAGCCTGTTGCTGTACGAGCCTCGCAAGCTAATCTACGCAAATCTGCGTTGTTTCACAAGTTACATGAGCGCAGAAATTATCAAGACTTATTCATATTTCTCCCAGTCATCGACGCGCAAAGAAAACACCATACAATTTCGTAGTGCAACATGTAACAAGCTTCCAAAAAATAAATTAGACTTTCGCCAGTTCTACCAATTAGTCTGAGCAACTCTTGCTATACATGCACATCACGTTCTTTGCAAATTAAATGCCATATATTTATGGTGCCACGATTGCAATGTATATCCCAAAATCGTCAAACCATTACAAATGCTAACGTTCTTCGCCTCGCCGGCAAACATTCACGGACACTGCACACGTATCCACCTCACGGCCATTCGTAAATCTGTGTTGTTCTTCGAGTTACATGAGCACAGAAATCGTAGATGTATCAATAACTTAGAGGTCAGCGATGCGCGGAAGGAAACGCCATATTATTCCGTAGCAGTGCTGACTTTACTGACTGTCCTTCGCCTCACCACTCATCCGCCTGGCCGGTTGCGGGGCCTGGTTGGCTAAAGCCGATATCACAAACGCTTGTAAGGTCGTCCCACTCAACCCACCTTTTTGGGGTTTTTTTTTTTGGTGTTTCCTGGATGGGGCGCCACTACCTCGCCGTTTGTCTCACTTTTGGATTCAAAAGCAGCCCCAAGATTTTTGATTCCCTCGACATAGTTCCTATCACGAGCTTCATTTCGTACATCCACTCCGTACACCACGTTCTACCGGCCTCAATACAAGTCTATCTTAGCAGCATCGACCTCGTCAAATTGGCCACCGGTTATCCGTGCCTGTCAATTTCCCTCATTCACGTGCAGTCACTACTAAAGGTTTACGTAAACAAGAACCTCTCGCTCCGGCCAAACGTTTACCCCTAACGGCAGACCTCCTCTCTCGCTGCATCCAGATGCTGCGCTCAGGGTGCCACTTTCCTCCCATGGATTCCACTCTAGAAGCCATGTTCCTACTAGCCTTCTTCGGTTTTTGAGATGCTCCGAGTTCGCTCTGCTCTCCGCTAATTATAATCCTCCTCGCCACGCCAGCCTGAACGACATCTCATCCTACTCCACCGGCTGTCTCACGTTGAAGATAAAGAGTAGTTAAACGAATCAGTTTGGCATTTCTCAGCCCTTATTCTTATTCTGCCTAGACTCTGCCCTCAGTCCGTCCGAGCCAATATCAAACTACGTCACGCCAAGATACAATAACCACGCTTGTCCCCAAGACCCGTTATTCACGAGCAACACACCACGTGCGAATTAGATTTGCACCATCTTCGACATGCCACTTCCTGGAGCTACAGACATCCCTGTTTAAATGGGCTTTAATTGAACTCTATTGCCATTCATTATATTATTACTTTATTTCACTATTAATTAGCTAGCCCGCGGAGGATGCGCTTCCCCACTATAGCCGGGTTCGTCCTGAGATTTCTTCCCACTGGGGAGTTTTTTTCTCACCACCGTTCAAGGATTTTTCTCCCTACTGGGAGTTTTGCCTCATTTGCTTTGTGGGGAATAGGCTGGGCACTGCCCTTTCATTTATTTAATCTCGCAACGTAAAGCGTCTTTGTGACAATCTATCCGCGAAAAGCGCTATACAAATAAATGGAATTGAATCGAATTTAATTATATCCAATATTTCGCCCGAATACTTCCCCGGGCATCCTTTCGCATCGGCGCCGCCACAGCATCCAAGCGAGGAGGGCCGGACCACCTGATTAAAATCCTCGGCCGCCGGACGTCAAACTCCGACGCAAGCTATGTTCACAATTATATCGACGACGTATGTAGAGCCCATCTATTGTCGATTTATTAACGCCTTTTGGGGGCTTAGGAGCCTACACGGACTCCGACGAGAGACGCGAGCCCCACCCTGAGTCTCGCCACCTGGGGCTCCCAATGTTCGCACAATCACAGACCAAGTCCATACAACATCGCCTTCGCCCCGATCCCCTATCCCTCGTTCCACCGAATACTCTCCTCCACTTTGGGAATGGTCCAGAGTTCATTAAACATGTCTTGTAAGAAAAAATGTGGGTGTGTCTAAACTTTTTGACTGGTACTGTATGTAAACACAACAATTGAATTGGTCATTCAGTTGTGAATGTATATAACATGAAAACCTTTATTCATTGGATTGAAAGATTTTTTATTTTGGTTCTGCACTTTAGCACTTATGTTTTTGATGGATGCGTTGACAATGTGGCTTAAGTCTTTTTAATTTAAAGGCGTTTTCATCCTTATCAGATGAAACCCCCATGAACCCCCCCCCTATTTTCAGGTTCCTAAAAAAGTACTGGACACTTTAAAATAATGTAGAATAAAGTTATCACTTGATATTTGGTTGCATATTATTTGTAGTTCATAAATGCTTGAAAATTGTGACACACTGACATCACCAGACGTCTGGTATCTTCCCTGGTGATGCTCTGCCAGGCCTGTACTGCAGCCGTCTTCAGCTCCTGCTTGTTTCAGGGACTTTTTGCCTTCATTCCCCTCTTCAGCATATAAAATGCATGTTCATTTATATTCAGATCTGTTAATTAACTTAGCCAATAGAACCAAAGTAACAAACAATAAGACACTGACCAATCAATTATGGTACAAACTGTATATATCCCTCTGACACCCAGCTTTACAAAGGTTACAAGATTGTAATAGATGTTTTTTATGTAATTGATGTGTAACTATTTACTAATACAATATTTACAAAAAAACAATTTACATTTATTTTCAAAAATGTAGCATTCTGCATCATAAAATTTATGTTTTTGAGAGAGGGAGGAAGTTGTGTGTCATTGAGGGACATAAATTGATGGTTTGACTTTAACAAGATAGTGTATTTGAGATTATGATGAATACAATAAAATACAACAGTCAAATTGTATCAGACACATAATATTGTAAGGGAGATCGTTATTATCAAGGTCACTGCACAGGAATGACTGAGGGAAAACCTCTGGTATATGACTATTTTAGCTGTAAATCTAAATTTCAGCAGGGGTCTCTCTGGTATCCCTACAGATGCCACTCAGTTCAGCAGTTGTTTGGCAGTTAACACAGTGGCACTTATCAAGAATCATTAATTTATGATGTAATTATTGATGCACATGTAAAGTAGCAGATACTGAAATTACTATTTAGGTGACAAGATATAAAATAAACAAGCGATTAATGACACAAAAGCATTAAAAGTGCAAAGTTTTCAAAAGGAAATGAAGCCAGGCAGCAAAAAAAAAAAAAAAAAAAGTTCAGGAACACGGACAGGAGGCCTTATTTCAGTTTGTATTCTGTACTTTTGCCGATGTATCCCAGCATTCCTCTCGTTTGCGCGTTTGCATTTGTTTATTGTCACAGCTCAGTGACTAGAACTGAAAAACTTTAGCCATCTATCACTCCAAGGTCTTTTTTTTTCATTGAGCTCAGTTACATCTTGAACTTCAAGCTATGGTCTAACAGAGGCTTATTGGTTTGTGTAAATTGGCTCCAGCTTTGCCAAGACACGTTTGCAACAGATGCATTTCAAAGCAGGAAACGCAGCATCTCAGTATGGAACCTGCCTCGGTCGAAGGAGTCACTGCATATTAACTCCTTAAGGCGCACAAGGGGTTTCTGTCGAATCCATGACTGTGCAAACCCAAGTCGCAAATCGTGGCATAAGGCACACGTTTGTGTTGTTCAAACTAATGGCAGTGGCTGTGCCAATTCTGAAAAAAATTGTTAGGTGTTCCTTTTTTGGGGAGAAAAGCTGGGGGGCAAAAAGGGGGAATGCATTATGAGCAATGCATAGGGGAGCCATGTGAAGGGAGTGCAAAAATTATTGCTTGAAATAATTCACATGCTGCCAAATAAAAAGCAGAAAAATTTTCAATAATAATCGAAAACAATTTTTCTTTTTTTGCTCATAAAGCTTCTTTTTGTGGTCTTTTAATAGGTTTACATCCATCTGTTATTTCTGAGTAAAGGCCTGCCCAGGTGTAGGCAGAAAACCCACCATTAGCCCAAAGAGGAAGTGAAAGATCTACATAAGAAGCTGACCAACTCCATTGAAAATGGAGAGCAGGAGAGGAAACTGACTGGGGCACAAAAATGTAAAAGATTGAAGAAGAAAGAAGAAGAAGAAGAAGAAGAAATTGTGCCCGAAAATGTGGGGGAAATGTGCATATGGTGAGCTTAACTGTACTTGAAGTAAGCCAGCATCTAATGTTGTGGAGGCTGAAAGGCATGCTGGTTATTTAGTCATGTTAGTTATCTCATTAGACTCACACAAGCCATAATGTTAACTGTACTCCATGTCGTTCATTTACTGTAGCTACAGATGAATGGCATACAAGCGAATGCTGCGATTCCTTACGTGCTCCCTTCATGTTAGCATCTGGTGGGTAAAAGTAATCTACACAGCCCTGCAGCATATACAGCTCGCCCCCCCGCCCCACTCCCAGCTAATATGTACTATTTTGAATTATGAGTTGACTTCAGGTGTGAATATGTAGAGAACAGGAGGAGAAAGCAAATAATTCCAGGATTACAGCACCAGGTTGCGCACTCCAGGGAAGAGCATTCAGCATTAGTCAAAATCCTCACCTTTTAACGCATGATCTTTCATAATGTCTTTTGAATGAAATTTATAATGAAAATGGAATTCAGAAACTAGAATTTATTCTCATTAATTATTCTCCCACGAAAGCCACATCCAGGATTCAAACTTAAAACCTCTTCATACCAAGACCAGTATGCTAACCACTGCACCATCATGTCTTCTTAGAGCAAACTACAAAAAAAATACAACAAAGCTAGGTTTGCCTTACACATTATACAGAGCACTGTCTTGTTTATTATATTAATATGAGTGTGGCTGAAAACCCTCAGGATTAACAGAATCAGGACAGAGGAAAATGTGTGAAATTCACATTTTGAAGCAGCATGTATGTCTGACCTCTCTGAAGAGCGGCTACCTATGTTTATCTCAGCTCTGAGACAGCATAAGGAGATTTTGTAAGTTTTCATTTGGAAGAAGCAGAAACAAGTAGGCGGACTGTCTGCTAGGCCCTGTCCTGAAGACCTCGGCTCCAGACAAATTTATTTTCTCAACTGAACCCCTGGGGAGGGGGCCACAAATTAATCCAAATATTAGAACTTAATTAGATGGCTGGGAAGGGAGAATAATTTAGGATTAAAGGATTAGAGCGCTCATGTCATCGTAACAAAGGGATGACTGGGTCTGCGAATTACCAAACCTTGGGAGATTAAATCACTTCGGCAACTGGTGTTCGTCAAAGAGTTAATCGGAGATATAATCAGGTCAGGCCTCAGAGGGCGCAGAAGAGTGATTAAAATAATATCAAAAGTGAAAGATAATGCGTGAGACGCTATTCAGTTTTAGCTTAATTATTTGCATAATAATCCAAGGCTAGAAAATAGAAGTGTAGCACAGTGTAATTTGCTGGCAGTTGTTGTCCTGGTGGTGAGCTGAATGAACAAAACCAGTAAGGATGCCATGTGAGTCGTAAGTGATGAGGCTTATTGTGATAAGGTTTTAATGGTCATACTCTTGCCACTGGCTTTCCTGTTCAAGAATGTCGCCAACATGTTCCTTGGACATCCACACCATTGCATAAAGTCTACGCTATGGTACGTGCAGGCTGTTTACGTTTAAAGAGCTGGGGTTACCAGTGCTTAACAGTTGCAATTACAGTTTCAGTTAGTAAAGTTCTAAGACTGCTATTGTAATCCTGAAGTCATAACTCGGGCCACTTGCAAGTTATCGAGTCTGGATCTGCCGTTTCTTCCGGCTGTCTGTCCCTCTACCCATTGTTTACTTCGAGAATTGGAGATTACCCAGAAGCATCTGGGTATCACGTCATGAAAAATAGGCTAGGCTCACTTGATCACCACCCGTTTCCAGCTAGGTCAAGGGTGACCCAAGTGCACACCTACTTGGCATCTACTTGTGAATAAATCTGAAGTTTGTATTCGCCTATTTCTAATTTGACACAAGCTTACAAATAGCAGTTGGTCAGCTATTCACTCACAACCCCTGCAGGGTGTATTTCCACCTCTGGCACTATCGATTCTGGGACAGGCATCGAATGCTGCTAAACCCCCCTACCAGCCTGCCCAATAATGACAGGTTAGGTAATGGATAGTTGGATAAATAAAAAGAGATCTTACCACAAATCCGGAATGCTGCTTTTCTTTTGTCATTTTTCCAAAAGTGGATGGCTTCTGGAAATAATATTGGGGTGGCCTGAGGCCAGTGTAGACAAATGAGAATTCCTATTTGTTGATGTAGCTCAAGATAGGGGTTGTTTATTACCGAAAAATGCGGGAAAGTGAAGCCTGAAATTAAAGGCTGAGATGAATTGAAACTGGGAACTAACAAATTCCAAAACAAAGGGTTGCTATCTATAAGCATGCACTTTATCAGAAATTAATTTGTGGCCTGCACTGAATGTATTATACATTATAAACAATAAAAAGTAATGAGCCATTCTTCTTTTTTTTCCCTCCCCTGATGACATACTCTCACTAGCGAAAATGACTTCACGGGACAATTATTGTGTCACTGTAGATACAGCCACTGTATTCAAGAAGCTATTAAGGCCGACTGGACAACTGCTTGATAACAACAACCGTTCATCTTGCAGCATCAGCATCTGACTTTCTCATCTGTCTTCCATCCACTACCACCCACAGGAAGCTATCTGATGTAGAAAAAGATTCAAATGAGGTGATTAACTTTTGTCTGGAACTGGAAAATGAAATGATAAACACTATATGGTGGCCCAGTGCACTACTGAATGGCTCAATATTTGTGTTCTCTTTTGGCTGCTTCCTCCATATATACACAAACAAATTTATGTTAGTAAAAGTTCCAGTTGAATTGATTAATTGTTCAAATTTTCTATTGTTCAGCCCCTCCCACCCACCTTCCAAATCTAACCACATGACTGGCAACACACTAGTTACTATTTCTCTTCGTCTTGCAAATGGAGCATTTATACTTGGGATCATCAACTTATGGTCAAGGACTGTGAAAACTGTTGGGTTTTTCACCCTCCCTGGCTAATCAGTAGCAATAATTTTTTTACTGGATTGCCCGGAGGTACAGAAAATCAGGGCTGGATTTGGATTTGAGGAACAGCTTTGGGAACCCCTGAAGTTTTCAGCTTTCATTACGATACCGGTAAAGCGAGCAGGTTACAGCCCCTAGCTGATTTGGCTGGGTGCTGCATTTTTTTTTTAGTGTCATGGTGCCCACATTTAAAAACCTTGATAGAAATGTATCTCAATTTTATTAACACACTTCACTAGTGCAAGTTCCACCAGGATTACTTCCTAGAGTTGGTACATTCGCAGTGAAACATTTAATGACTGCAGTTCCACTCAGCTCCCTCCTCTGAGAAATACAGAGAATGCATTCGGAACCAAATTATTTATAGCCGTAGATTCCATCGATGCACATAGCATAACCTCAGTTGACTGCTGAAGCATTAACAGACTTTTTTTTGCAGGATTGCTTGAATTTTGATCTTCCTGAGAAGCATGCATTTCAGATGTATCCTCTCACTAGGGGTGCTGTAATGCGGGGGCAATTTAAGACGTTTTCAAGGATGCTTACTGATGGTATCCCTCAAACAATATCAAGAAATAACATTTTCTGGGGCTTTAGGGAGTAATGCAAGGACTTTCCATGAAGCCCATTATCTGTGATGGTTAAAATTAACTAAGATAGCTGTAAGGGTAATATAAATTATTTTTAAAGAAGACACCTGACAGTGAAAAAATGTACATGATACATTTTCAGTGATTAGCTTTCCAGGTTTTGAAACTGAGAATGTCAGAATCTGCAAAACTAGATTTTTGATTTAACATAGATTCAGTAAACAGGACTTCTACTCCAGATATCACATGGCAACACAATGTGCAATAAATATTCATAGCGCAGAACAGTAAACAGTATTCCATGAAGAGATACTTTACATATGAGCCCATCACACATGACACCTTTTAATGGTCCAACTGCATTTCATATTATAAACTGCATTAAAATTAGAGCCCAGTGTGCAAATTGTGAAACTGAAAACCTGCCATTATCACATGGAACGAGATCGGAGTTGACAAATTAGGCCTAGATCTTAAAAATAGACTTGGCTTTAAAAAGATTGTTAATAATTCATAAAAAGCAGGCTTTTATCTTCTCATCCTCTTAAAAATATATTTTGCTTTATGTTTTCAATATTTAACTAATGTTTGAATGTTTTTCAAGAAAAAAGTTGGGGTTTGAGTGAACTTATAGTCATGAAAGCATTTTTGCTTGCTCTTCGCGGGGGGACATAACTGTTCTGTGCGCAGAGAGTGCAAACAAATGTATTTTTCTGGCTGATTACATTGCTAAGTTACATTTGTGCTCCATTTCGAAGGTTGGATACAGGAAAGGCTGCTGAATTTGTTCTTTTTCCCCTTGTCAAGACACATGGTGGAGTGGGGGATATTGTAATGGAACATTTCCATACGTCCGTCTGTCTATCTGTTCGTGCTAGTTCCCTCAGAAACTACGTTACCTAGATGAATGAAAGTTTGTGTATGTGTATAAGTCAGGACCGTGACTGGGTTTGACAAAAGGATTCCGTGGTGGCGGGGATATTGATTGCAATGTTGTCTTGTTTATGATGCATCCTTGCATTTCATCAGTCAGTCAGAAAGCCAGCGTGGTCAGCCATGAACATTCCTTCCATAGGAGTGCTCTGCACCTTCAAGCTCTGAAAAGCTTTCTTAACTTTCTAACAGTCTTCAAGAATGCTACCAGCAACAAAACTGTATTTTAAGGACAGATATGAGGGAGTGTGTTGAAGGATTGATGTAATGATCATAATGTAATGTCATACTAAACATAAACCGAGCCCCTCAGAACAATAGTGGTCTAACTCCATTTTTTATTATTTTGAGAAAACAGCTTCCAAAGTTTTGACGTTGTCTAATTCAGCATGCCAGTAAGTATTTAGACCTGTCTTGAAGTGACATCCTTTGAATCTTTGCTTTCATGTTCCGAAAGTATTTTTTCGTCAACATTGACTATTTTTGTTATTTTTGCATGTTTTGCTTAAAAACTAAGAATTTTGGAGCTAGACCACTCTTGCACTACTATCTATATTTCAGAGGTGGAACTGACAATCTTCTGGCCCATTATTGCATGAATAGATTTTACCTTTAGCATGAAAAATATGGGTCTAACTTGGAAAATTAGAAAATCGGAGTTAGACCACTATTGTTCTGAGGGGCTCAACTATTGAGTCATTTTTGAGAAATGTTAATGTAACAGGCAGGGGCTAGAACCAAGGAGTCCATTGACACATCCACCTTGTTTACCTCAGATAAAGGATGACACATCATTATCTGAGAAGTACAGTTGTATATGATATCACATCTGGTGCTTGGCATTAGGTGTTTTGAAAATAATTAGTTGAATTAATTGATAGGTAGAACAACCTGTCAGATCAAACTTTAACAAGAGGTGCAATCCAATTCAAAATTAATAAATTTAAAAAGAGTCGCAACTGAATATATGTCTATGTCTACAGACTAAGGTATTCTACCTTATTCAAGAGTAGAGCAGACATGAACAACTGCTCCCAGGCAAAACAAACCTCGCCTGCCAGCACTTATTATAGTGCTTTTAATATTGACTCAGTTATATAAGTGTGACCTCAACCATTTTTAACATAGGGGAGACTGGGGTCTGATGAGCCACGGGGACC